AGCAACCCTATGGATGGAAGACCTGAGCCCTGTTCATAGTTTCCAGAGGTAAGCCATTTCTGTAGTGGATGCCACTCCTGCCTCCAAGCTTGTTTTAATTGAGAATCTCCACCAAACACTGTCCACCATGGGTAACCTCTATTGCATTTGGCACATCAGTGTCACAGTGCTTAGCATCACAGCAACCATGAGTTACCTCTGTACAGCAATGCACAGATCAGTGCTATACCACTGAGAAGAATGTTTGACAAACAGGAATTCATTTTATTCTGTTGTACAGGGTTCTTATGAGTTAAAACCTACTGGATGGTAGTGGATGTTAGGATTTTATTAAATGAAAAGGCTCAAAGCTTTTTTTAGTCATTTAAAAGCTACATGTGTACCAAGTAAAGGTGACTGCGATGAAGAACCTAGTTCAATAATTTTTAAAAGAGTAAATTTACAGTAACATCAACAGGCAAGTATATTGTATCGGAAAGCGGCACTCAAGAAATCAAAACACATTGGGGAAATTTGCTGTAAATGACCCCTACCAAAGAGCTAAAGAGCAAGGATGTCGCTTTAAAGACTAAAGTGTGCCTGATCTAAGCCATGCTCTCTTCAATTACTTCCTATGCATCTGAAAGTTGGACAATGAATAAGGACGACAGAAGAAAAGCTGTCTTTGAGTTGTGGTATTAAAGAAGAGTACTGAATATACCATGGCATGCCAAAAGAACAAATAAGCCTGTCTTGGAGCAAATGTCACCAAAGTCTTCCGTAGAGACCAGGATGGTGAAGCCATCTCACTCACCTTACAGCATGTTGTCAGGAGACGCCAGCCCTTGGACAAGCTATCATGCAAGGAAAGGAGGAGGGTCAGTGTAAGAGAGGAAGACCCTCAACAAGATGGTCTGACTCTGTAACAAGGGGTTTGAGTATATCCGAGATTGTGAGGATGCTGCCTGATAAGGGCAAGGTTCAGATCTGTAACGATTTGCTATGATTCAGTCAACTTTACGGCACCTAACAACAACACTTGTACCATTAGTGAGGTTTTGTCCTTCTTTCAAAGTTGTGTTCTATTTTCACATAAAATATTCGAAGTATAATACATACTATTTCATGCTAACAAACTATACTTCTAGAATAATGTAGCCAGAAACATATACATTAAGCTGTAAACTTTGTTCCTCTAGAAGTGTAAGGGCTTTTATTTATATATCTTGCTTATAGGTGTTACTTATCAGTAGACTACTAAAGTGGCAAAGAGAGATACTAAAATATCATCACTAAGTTCAATAAACTTTCTAATATGTGTGTGTAATTTTACAAATCAATGATACATTTATTTTTTCCAATATCAGTAAAGGCTTCCAAAATTTACTTACACCAGGACAAAGAATAATCATACATTAAAGATTAACTGTTGTTCATGTTGTTGCTATTGTTGTTGTGTACCATCAAGTCAGAACTGACCCATGGATGACCCTACCATGGGTTTTCAGAGGCAATTAACCCTCTGGAGGAGACTGCCATCTTTCTCTAGCATGGAAGCTGGTGGATTTAAACCAAATGCCTTTGGTTGACAGTTCAATTCCTCACCATTAAGCTCCCAACTACTCTTCACAGCAATACAAATGTTTAAACACTACACTACTAACCAAAAGGCTGGCATTTTAAACTCATCCACATATGATTTGAAAGGAAGGCCTGGCAATCTGCTTCTGAAAAGTCACAACATTAAAAATCCTATGAAATTCTACTTTGCACAGACAGGATCAGCATAAACTCTAATCAACCTGACAGAAATGAACAACAATAAAAACAATTCTATTTAGCACCAACCTCCCTAGTCAACTTTCCCATAAAAATATTTAGCTATGAATTTTAACACTGAATTCAAGTTGTTCTCAGTATTTTTCAGTACTATCTATCAATGTAAACAACATTAATATATATCAATTTATTATCAATTCATTAAATAGAAACCATACATGATATGGGCAAAATAATTTAAATATTATTATATGCATGGGTTCATAACATAGTTGTGATTTATATAAACTTACGTTTACAATAGTTTGAATGTTATGATGATAGGTAGATGTACTTAAAAGTTAACTTTATTCACTTTGAGAGCCAATGTTTTTCTCCAATAGGGAAAGAAAGGGCAGCTACTGAGTTTTCTTTTGAAATTAAATTTTTTAAAAAATTATTCTTCAAAAGCAACCACCTTTTTAAAAATAAATTAGCCTGTAAAATCAAAATTTAAATAATTCATTATCATCATTGGACTTACAGATACTTCTTTTACAGAGGTTTTTTGACCTAAATATTTCAACATTTGAGTTGTAGTTTAATTTTAAAAATCATTCTTAAAGCATATAAAAAGGAATGTGAATTTAACTGGACTATGCTTCAGTGTTTGTTCATTTTTTTTTCTTTCCCCTTTAAATCATAGCCATGAGATACATTTTCTATTTTGTTATGGTTCTCTTTTGAAGATGGACATGCAGTGAGTATTTCTTGGAATGGCCAACTTTTAATAAAATGTTTCTTGAAGAAACTTAAATTTTTAAAAAAAATATACTATAGAAACAACTAAGAGATATCATCTCACCCCAGTAAGAACAGCAAAATTTAACAGAATAGCAAACATCAAATGCTGGTGAGGTTGTGGAGAAACTGGAACCCTTATTCACTGTTGGTGAGAGTGTAAAATGGTGCAACCACTATAGAAACTGTGTGGCATTTTCTCAAAAAGTTTCAAATAGAAATACCATTTGACGCAGCAATTCCACTACTGGGAATATACCCTAAAGAATCCATAACTGCCATCCAAACAGATATATGCACACCCATGTTTATTTCTGCTTTGTTCGCAATAGCAAAGAGCTGGAAACAACCCAAGTGCCCATCAACAAATGAACGGATAGAGAAGCTCTGATATATTCACACAATGGAATACTATGCAGCATTGAAAAGCCAGGAACTCCAACTCCTTGCTATTGTGAACAAAGCTGCAATAAACATGGGTGTGCATATATCTGCTTGGATGTCAGCTATGGTCTCTTCAGGGTATATTCCCAGTAGTGGAATTGCTGGGTCAAATGGTATCTCTATTTGCAACTTTTTGAGAAAGCGCCATACTGCTTTCCACAGGGGTTGCACCATTTTACACTCCCACCAACAGTGAATCAGGGTTCCAGTTTCTCCACAACCTCGCCAGCATTTGTTGCTTGCTGTTCTGTTAAATTTTGCTATTTTGACTGGGGTGAGATGATATCTCATAGTTGTTTTAATTTGCATCTCTCTTAGGGCTAGGGATTTTGAGCATTTCTTCATGTGCTTGTTAGCCATCTGAATGTCGTCTTCGGTGAAGTGCCTGTTCATATCCTGTGCCCATTTTTCTATTGGATTATTTACCTTTATCTTGTTGTGGTGCTCAAGTATTTCATAAATTCTGGATAGAAGTCCCTTATCTGATATGTTATTACCGAATACTTTTTCCCAGTCAGTGGCTTCCCTTTTTACCCTACTGGAGAATTTTTGGATGTGCATAGGGATCTGAGTCTTAGAAGATCCCATTCATTTATGTTATCTTCTCCTGGTTGTAGGTTTTCCAGGATACTGGGAAGACTGTTTATGTTGTGGATTAGGACTTCTAGTGTTATTCCTAGCTTTTCTGTAATGAAGTTTATAGTCCTTGGTTTTAGTCCTAGGTCCATGATCCACCTTGAGTTGGTTTTTGTGTATGGAGTGAGGTGTGGGTCTTGCTTGAGTCTTTTGCAGATATTTTTCCAATTTTGCCAACACCATTTGTTAAAAAGGCTGTCGTTTCCCCACTTCACTGATTTCATCTCCTTGTCAAAGATCAGTTGACCATAGATAGATGGGTTGATCTCTGGATTCTCAATTCGATTCCATTGATCTATGTGTCTGTCATTGTACTAGTACCAGGAACTCACGAAATATTATGCAAAATGGATGACTGTGGAGGACATCATGCTGAGTGAAATATCTCAGTCACAAAAGGACAAATATTGCATAGGGCCACTGTTGTAAAATGGGACTGACATCAGGGTTGAGTGAAGACAGAAAAGGAGGGAAGAAATTATGTATATTGCATTGAAACAGATGAGGGAGAGAACTGTTTAAAAGGGACATATGAATGGGTATTCTTGTCATTACAGAAGTCCAGAGTGAAGGCTGCATAGTGGACTTGTGGGGAGGGAATGCAAAACAATGAAAGAGTATTTCATTTTCTTTTTAAGAACAGTGAATTGGTGGGAGAAGTTTGGGCAGGAAGAAAAGTGCAACAATGAATGACTGGAAACCCTGAGTCTCTGTAAACTTTCATTAAAGTTAATAAAAAAAAAATATATACTATAAGGCTTAAGAAAATCCATCATAAAGATTCTCACCTCTTTCATAATTATTTCTGAACAATAATAAAGAGATATCATTTCATAGTCCAAAATAAATGAATTGCTGAATCTATCAACCTGATAATTCCTATAATCACTACATTCCTTTGAAATAACTAAACTGAATATAAAAAAAAAATCTGTAAACTAATAGTGGGCAATCCCCAAAACAAAGTATTCAAGTTTTCATAGAAGATCTATGAGTATCTATTTCTACAAGTAAGTATGCAACAGACCAGAAAAACACTGATATGAATATAAAATAATGAAGCTGAAAAGACTGAAGGCACATTCTGAAGAATACATTCCAGTAAAGGAGGAATAATGCAGGTATATTAACAATGTGAAATTCCCTAGAAACTCTTAACTGGCTTAGGAAAAAAAATAACACACACACACACATTTATATTTCAGATTCCTTATGTAAACACTTTCTTATAGCGATTAAAGGATTTTTCATGGTTTTATTTTTTAAAAAATAATTCGTATTGGAAATAAAAAAAAAAAACAATTTCTTCCAATTTGGAACAGTCACCTTGGAATTTCAACTTCTGCTATTATTTTTCTTAAACTAAAATAAAACTGATTATATTAGTGCGGTACAGACTTCACTATAGATTCAGTGATATTTTCTTTTTCATGCTTTTCTTCTTCATGGACTGAAGTTAGTTCATTTCTGCTATTTTCCTCCTCACTGGAATCACTGTCTGTTCCGTCTTCCACAGGTTTCTTGTCAAGTGAAGAATCTTTACAGGCTTTCTCTGTGGGAACAGCTCCTTTACGCTGGGGTAAAATAGTAAAAAATGCCTCTTGCCAGTCTCTTTTTTGCAGGTATTCCAGAATAATCTCAAACACTGTTAATAAAAACAAATTCCACACATTTCTTAGCTAAGCCACTATTTTGCATGTTGTTGTCTTCTAAAATCCATTTCCTCTGTGTTAAAAGGGCTCATGTGATTTAATAACTTTGTCTACCTTTTCCTTCGTCTATTACTGCCAGGGCCAATTGACCCCAAGGTCCTGAAGGCTGTTCCCTTCCCTCTACCTTCTCAATTAAGTTCTTAAGAACTCAGAGGCTTACCATAACACCTTGTCAATGACAAACAAGAGGCAGTCTCTTTTGTATTTATCATTTTGACCCATGTGCTAACAAAAAACTTTAAGGAAAAGGGTAACTAATCTAAATTTCTTCTATTTTTCCTATAAAGAGCCATTTAACTCTAAGAAGACTCTTGGAAGCTTTTTCTTTTTTTTTTCTAAAAAAATAAAAACCAGGATAAAGAACATTAATATTATTTCTGTTGACCATAATACAGTACTGAAAGTTTAATTTGGATTACTTTGTAAGAAAGTAATTTCTATTGTATGCCCAAGGTCTTAGAAGTAGTTCATTCTCAGAAGAAATAATAAATTCATTTCTATAACTCCTTAAAGTTGGCTATATAAAGAGTATTTATTATATAATAACAGCTCAATAAGTAGCCATATACTAACATCCTTCTAAAATTTAGAAAGGAAAAAACTTATGTACAAAAACAACAACAACAAAATGAAAACAGTAATAGTAAACGGTTAAATAATTGTATGTTCAGATGATGGAATATATTAAACAATCATTAACCATCCAGTGATAAGGAAAGTCTAACAGTAAAAACTTGGAAATGTAAACCTGAATAATTCTGAGTAAGAATCTAATTCTATAACCAATATTACATCTGCATTGAAGAACTAGAAATAAGCATACCAAAAGGTTAACACTAAGTATATCAGAATATTTGAAAGTATAGCTTTACTTTCAGAATTCTTTGAATTTTATAAATTTTCTATAATTTAAACAAATTATAAATTATTATTTTCACATTTCCCCCTCCAATAAGGTATAAAATTTTCCACTGTCTAATATGTTTTTTCACAATGCTCTCTTGGGTAGATTGCATTTTCATTGTACCTCATTATAGCTTACCATGATTAACTGCTAGAACTTTTCGACTGTTCATCTTCACAAAGTTTCCAAGAGGGAGTTGTGCATGTTCAATTCCATAGTCGGATGCTTGTTTATATGTGAGTCCCTAAGACAAAGACAATGTGATTCAAACTAGCATATTACTTACTTTTAATTAAGGTCTATGACAGTATACATAACGCTTGAAAAACCTTTCAGAGAATATTTCCTGAAGAATTTTGAGCATGTATATTTGTGTACTTGCTAATTTGGAAACATTCTCTTGACAGTAAATATAATCACATATTTGGGACAGTTGGTGTAATTTTTCTAATTAGCCGTGTTACTTTCTCTCAAGAAAGACAGTGTTTAGACATATATAGACTCTAGGAAACTCCACCTAGTTTTAAATCCCATGGTTTACTACACTATTTTTTACTTTAAGGATCTCTGCTAGTGTAGTTCATAACGATAAGACTGCTAACTAAAAAAAATCACCAGTTCAAATCTACCAGATGTTCAGCAGGAGAAATAATGGGCAGTCTCATCCCATAAAGATTTACAGACTTGGAAAACAAAAAGGGTCATTATGAGTCATATAATTCATTTTAGTGAAGAAGATTGAATGAGGTTTAGTGAGTATTAAACAAATTACAATATGCCAAATGTCTTACTTATAGTAAAGATAAGCTGTCATTTGGGAATATGGTAACTCCCTAGAATTCCTCATATACCAAATTTATGTATGAACACAAGAAAAAATGAACGCTTAAATGCACCTTGTGATGATTGTGATCTACTAATCCTCCGATCACATAGGCCTTTGATTCATCTAATTCCTTCAATACATTGGGTGAATCTGATGTAAGATAAATCAAGTCGTCTTTCTTTATAAGATCACTGTAGTGTTCTGGCTTGATGTGGATATCCTTTAAGACAAAAGGAAAAATATTTTATTACATAGTAGGGTTTTGTAAAGAAGTAATCATTCTTTTCCCAAGACAAACACATGTAAAACAAATAGGAAATAAAATTTCAAAAGAACATTGTTAGTATCATTTGAATCTAATCTTAATCTAACTAATTTATCTTATTTAATCCTTACTATCCAATTTATTTACTACTGAAAGTCTTCCAGTTTTTTCCTATCTCGAGCCTTATGGTGGCTAGTGACAAGAAGCTGCACTGCAATCCCAAAGGCACGCAGTTCTAATTCATCAGCTGCTCTGTGGGAAAAGGATAGGCAGTCTCTGTGCGATTAACTGCCTCTGAAAACCTGCCAGAGGGTCACTTATGGGTTGGTTCTGATTCAGTGGTACACAACAACAGCCTTGTTATTAGGTGCCATTCAGTCAACTATGACTCAAAGCAACCCTATGAACATATGGGAACCCTGCCAGATCTCTGGTAGTGTTGTTAGGTGCCATCCAGTTGACTCTCCAATTGAAAGCTAACTTAGGAATAACAGATTTGAACCCTGCAGGCATATATAGAAGAAAAGCCCAGGTCAGAAGTCACTCAAAATGAGGAGAAATAGCTATAAATATCCAATAATAAGAAGGATATGGAATACAGAATGTATGAATCTAGGAAAATTAGAAGCTGTTAAAAAGTGACATGAAATGAAAAACTGAAGAAAAATGATACTGCATTCAGAGTAAAAAATACCATTTCATGACCTATCCTGAAGTGCAACTGTGAATGATAGGATACTATATATATAAGAAAGACCTGTTAATACAATTATTATTCAAATATATGCACCAACTAAAACCAAATTAGAAGAAATTGAGGAATTCTACAAACTTTTGCAGTCTGAAATTGAATATAAAAATCAAGATGTATTAGTAATAATTGGTAACTGGAATACAAGAGTTGGAAACAAAAAGAAGGACTGTTAATCAGAAATTACAGACTTGGATTTGAAGTTGGAGATTGAATGATTTTGTACAATCAATGATTTCTTGTTGTTGTTGTTATGTGCCATTGAGTCACTTGTGACTCATAGCGACCCAATGTACAACAGCCCTAAACCCTTCTCTAGCCTGTGCCAACCTCACTGCCTCTGACACACCCAACTCGATTACCCTAGTCACTGAATCAATGTACCTCACAGAGGGCCTTAACCTTCTGCGGTGTCCCTCCACCTTCCCAAGCATGATGTCCCTCTCCAAGGACCTCTCCCTCCTTACAACATATCCAAAGTATGTCAGACGAAGCCTCAGAATCCTTGCCTCCAAGGAGCAGCCTGGTTTAACCCTCTCCAGGATGAATCTGTTTGTTTTTTTTGGCAGTCCAGGGTACATTCAATACTCTTCTCCAGCACCACAGCTCAAAGGCATCAATGATTTAGTCATTGCAAATATCTTCTTCAAAAAACACAAATGACAACTATACACATGAGCCTCACCTGATGGAGTACACAGAAATTAGACTGACTAGATCTGTGAGAAAAAGCTGCCAAAGAAGCTCAGTGTTAGCAGTCAAAACCAGGTCAAGTGCTGACTGTGAAAACAGACCATCAATTACTCACTCATGAAAAGTTGAAGTAGAAGAAAATCAAAACAAGTCCACTGTTGTTGTTATGCGCATTGAGTCGCTTGCAACTCATGTTGTTGTTGTTGTTATGTGCCATCGAATTGTTTGCGACTCATAGCGACCCTATGTACAACAGCCCTAAACCTTGCTCTATCCTGTGCCAATCGCATTGCCTCTGACACACCCATCCCGATTACCCCAGTCACTGAATCAATCCAGCTCATAGAGGGTCTTCCCCTCCTGCGCTGACCCTCTATCCTACCAAGCATGATGTCCCTCTCCAAGGACCTGTCTCTCCTTACAACATGTCCAAAGTATGTCAGATGAAGCCCCAGAATCCTTGCCTCCAAGGAGCAGCCTGGTTTAACCCTCTCCAGGATGGATCTGTTTGTTTTCTTGGCAGTCCATGGAACATTCAATACTCTTCTCCAGCACCACAGCTCAAAGGTGTCAATTCTCCTTCTATCCTCCCTAGTCATTGTCCAACTCTCTGATGCATAACAAGTGATTGCAAAGACCATGGCCTGTATCAGGCGCGCCTTAGTCTCCAGAGAGACACCGTTGCTCTTGAGTACTTTGGAGAGGTCCCTAACCACAGACTTTCCCATTGCAATACGTTTTTTTATTTCCTGGCTGCTGGTGCCAAGAGTGTTGACCGTGGAGCGACTCATAATGACCCTATATACAACAGCCCTAAACTCTGCTCTGTCTTGTGCAAATTGCACCATCTCCAATACACCCATCCCGATTACCCTAGTCACTGAATCAATCCACCTCATAGAGGGCTTTCCCCTTCTGCGTTGTCCCTCCACCCTCCCAAGGATGATGTCCCTCTCCAAGGACTGATCCCTCCTTACAACATGTCCACACAAGTCCATAAGAATCAAAATAAAAGTGTGAGTATCCTATATGAACTTAGAAACCATCTCAACAACAATAGCTTTGAGGCACTGAACACTAATGATCAAACCACATGAGCTGTAGGATGACATCAATGTTATCAGTCAGTAAAAGTCACTGAAAAGACAGAGAAGAAAGAAAACATCAAAATGAATGTTGGAGGAGATTCTCGGAAAACTGCACTAGAATGCCGAGAAGCCAAAGCAAAGGGAAGAAAAGGTGAAGGAAAAGAGCGGAATAGACGATTTCAAATGACAATGTGAGAATGCAAAATGAAGCATTAGAATGAAATGAGCAAAAAGCTTGAGTTAGACATTAAAAAAGAGAAGACCTTGCTTGCTTGGTATTTCTCAAGCTGAAAAAAACATATTCAAGCCTCAAGTTGCAATACTGAAAGATGCTATGGATAAAATCTTGCATTTTATGCATATTTTGCTGGAAAGTGCAAAAGAAGATGGATGGAATATAGTCTCCGGAGTTAGACTTCTCTAATTTACGTCTACATAGCAATGCTGCTGTGGTTAAGTGCCATCAAGTATGGCTCATAGTAACTCTACCAAAACAGATCTGAACTTTGTCTTTTAATGTGCTCATTGTTACAGTCTTTGTATCAATCTATTTTGTTGCAGGTCTTTCTCCCTTTCACTGACCTTCCACCTTTACAAGCTGGGTATCCTTTTCCAAGGACTGTCTCCTTCTAACAATACTCCCTAATTATGTGAGATACTATTTCACTATCCTTGCCTCCAATGAGCACTCTGCACAAAACAAATTCGTTTGTTTGTTTGGTAGTCCATAGGATATTCAGTACTCTTTTACAACACAACTCAAAGTCATCAACGATTCTTCTGTCATTCTTAGCCATTGTTCAACTATTTTTTTAAACTCAATTTTAATGGAAGTTTATAAGAAAGTTGGCTTTCCATTCATTCATTGCACATTTTCCTCCCTCCCCCAGTTTCCTTTTTTTTAACTTAATTTTTTTTCATTGTCCAATTTTTAGATGTATAGTAAGTAACTGAAAAGACCATTATTTTAATCAGTCTACAAACTAACATCATTGCTCCTTAACATTTTAGAAAGGTCTAGTAATAGCAGATTTACCCAATGCTCTGTATCTTTTGATTTCTTGGGTACCCAGCAAGATGAAGTCATTGACAATTTTAATCTTTTCTCCATCTATCATGATGTTGCTAACTGGCCTAGTGATGAAGATTTTTGTCTTTTTAGTGCTGAGATATAATAAAGGCTATACTCTTATCTTCTGCAGCAAGCCAGATTATGTCATCTGCAATAACACAGGTTATCTTTCTCTAATTCTGATGCCACATTCTTCTTCATAAAGCTCAGCCTCTTGAATGATTTGCTCAGCCAACAGATTGAAAAAGCACTAAGAAAAGATATAGGTCTGATACACATCTTATAGTGTTCCCTTGCTCTGTTCAGACAACAGCTTCTCGGTCTAGGTATGGTCTCACAGGAGCACAAGTAAGTGTTTTAGGGTTCCCATTCTTATCAATGTTAGCCATAATTTATCATGAGCTGCATAGTATTAGAAGACTTAATTTCTAAAATAAACCACAATAAGTAAACAAAAAACCCCTCTACTATTAATATTCTACTTGAGAACAAAATTGAAATTGCTTAATCACTGTCCCCTAAGTATTCCCAATATGGCATTAAGCTACGCAGCAACTTTATATCTCAGTTTTAATCTTTCAAACAAAACAAATGCCCTTTTACTGCCGCATATTTGCTCACAGTGTTATCCAGCCAAGAATGACATCTTCAATTACTTTCTCTCCCCATCTATTAATTTTAGACCTAGTTCATGTTACATGAGTAAGCAGAAAGCTTTGCAGATTTAATGAAATCCATGTGTTTATTTACACAGATAAAAATAATAGAAAGTTTCTCCTACCAAAATTATCAGAAAAGACAACCTCGCAAGTCAATATTTTGACAACTGTATTTATACAGCACCAGGTTCTGAAGACAATTACCCAGTAATCTGGAGGGAAACTAAAAAAGAAGCAAGAGTATTTTAATATTAAAATATACAACCTTATTGCCAATAACTACATTTCTTCAAAGATCATAATTCACAAATTTGACTCCTATCTTTAGGAGTGGCCCCAAGAAGTGTCTGAGTAAGAGAATAGTGAATCTCACTTACTGGGACACGCTAATGATATAAATAACACAACTGGCAAGTTAGAAAATTAATGAAAGTGATGTATGATAGGGTATTATGGTTATTACAAGAGTCCACAATTAAGATTGCATAGTGGAATGTACTTGGGGCAGTGGGAGGGGTGCGGGGGGATTGTGTACCAGGGAGGGAGTGTTTCTTTTACTTTTGAAAGAGAGGAGCGAACTTGGGGAGGAGGAGAAGGGCTGGGCGGGGAGAGAAGTGCAGCAATGAATGAATGGAAATCCAAAATCTCTGTAAATGTTCATTAATATTATTTAAAAAAATTTAAAAAAAGAAGTCTTACTGTATAAAGAAAGTCATATTTTTTCGTTATTTAAATAAAGAACCTAAACAATAAAAAAGAAAAGAAAATTCATGAAAGCACATATACTCTAACACTGCATTATTTCTTGACAAAAATAGGAACAAATTAAAAATATAATGAGACTAAGAAATGTAAAGAGGTTGGGAAACTTTCATTATAAAATACTCATGAATCTGAGAAATTTTGTTTAGGTTTAGAGTCACTATAAAAAATCAGCACTGAGAAAGAGAAATAAAAGTCTACAGCTAGTGGAGTGCTTCTGTGAGTAGGATAGAGTTTGTCTTTAGGGACTGGTACTTAATCTAGTCCTATCAGTCACCTTTCAAATAATGATATAACAGCACAATCCAATAGAAAGGAAATATATTAGTAACATTATGTTTTTATTTTTCATTAGTGATCATGTAAAAAAAAAAGGGGGAAAGTGGTATTTATTTTAACAATATGGATTGAAGCTCAACATCAAGAAAACAAAGATCCTCATCACTGAGCCAGCTGGCAGAATCATGAAGAGACTGAGATTGTTAACAGCTTTAGTTTGCTTGGCTCTACAATCAACACTCTTGGTACCAGCAGCCAGGAAATTAAAAGATGAATTGCATTGAGAAAGTCTGCTGTCAGAGACCTCTCCAAAATACTAAAGAGCAATGATGTCAGTTTGTGACTAAGGTGCACCTGATACAGGCCAGGGTCTTTACAATTACTTGCTATATATCAGAAAGCTGGACAATGACTAGGGATAATAGAAGGAGAATTGATGCCTTTGACCTGTGGTGCTAGAGAAGAGTACTGACTATACCACGGACTTCTAAGAGAATAAACAAGTTTGTCTTGTTGTTGTTATGTGCCATTGAGTCATTTGCGACTCACAGAGGGCGAAGACAGCCTGCGCCTTGGAGGCAAGGATTCTGCAGCTTCATCTGACA